CTGTTCTCGGGGGGGGTTGTAATATTTGTGGAAAGGGCCACGTTACACTACAAAAAAATAAATAATAATAATAATTTAATTTCCTTAATTTCCTCATTATGGTTTAGTCATACAAACTTAAGACATTTCTGTAGGCATTGATTTGACTGAAAAATAAGCTGTTAAAATGATAAGGTTGCCACTCCTCTTTCTTCTACCTGATGTTGGCAGGTGAGTTTATTAATTTATTTTTGTATTCTTTCATTTATTGGTTGACTGTTTCCTTATTGCACTTACATAAAAAAGTTTCAATTTAGCAGAGAATTGGTCATGATTTGTCAAAAACATGTTGAGGCTGACAGTAAATGAATCTCATTGTAAAACAAAACATAAACACAATGTTACTTTGTACTTTTAATTGTGTCCTGGAGACCCCGTTTAAAACGCACCAGCAGAATTATTACACAAAAAATAAAAGGCTCGTGCTGATAAATGACAAATAGGCGCTCACTGCTTCCTTCTCCGGTCGTTTCACAGTGATCCACAGAGACCTGCGTTGGTCAGTAATGGACGATAGCGTTTGAGCTCTCGCACAAGTCCCCCCACAATCCGCCACCTTGAATGATGCCACTCCCACACCTGTCCTCAAGACCACGCATCAACAAAGTCACATGAATGACGTTAGCGGTAAGTTTGTCACCTAGAAATCTATCTAGGTAAGCTTTGCTCATCTGCATTTTGTCATTATTTGGAACTTCAGACATGGGGACTTGATTTGTGATTATTTTCTGTATTTGAGAGAAGCCATACTGACGTCATATGTGTTTGTTTTGTAAAATGACCTCCAGCAATCTGGAGAACCAACCTTTTCATTTGGTCTGCACATTTAAAGTGAGGGGATTGCATTGCAAGGCTGAGCTCTGTGCCTTGTGTTACAGAACCTGTAAGCTGTAGGCAGTACTCTAAACTCAACTCAACTCAAACTTTTTTATAAACTTTTACTTATTTATAAAGCACATTTAAAACAACCGGGGTTGACCAAAGTGCTGTACAGATATCACAGTTGCAGGAAATAAGGTAAAAAACTAAAAAGCTAAAATACATAAACACAATGCTATAAATAGAATGAAAATAAAATAGAATAAAATAAGTTCAAATTTAAATGAAAATGTCCACTTAGACTTGATTAAGGGAGAAGAAGTGTGTTTTTAGGGAGGATTTAAAAACCTCAAAAGATCCTACAGATCAAATGTTCCAGGGCAGGTTATTTGGGCAGTTTGATCTAGTCTTTTTTTTCGTAGATATTGTATGATTGATATAAGGTTGTCTCTTTGTAAGGTGTGTGCAACAAAATGTATGCTTGTGTAATGTTTTTCACTTATAATATTTAATCACATATTTTCTTTGTACATGTTAGGATGAAAAGATGTAAGGAATAGGAGCTAAATCTCACTTTATGTGAAGTGGGATCACAGGATAGTGGCTTAGCTGACAGCTAATATCCCAAAGCCTACATAACATATAACAGAGGCCATGTTTGTAGTTCTTTCAATCCAGAAGCTAATGTGGTACGTTCTGGTATATTAGAGAAACAACTAACCCTAAGGTTTGGAAATCCATGCCCAAAAACGTCAGAAATATTTGTCCTTTCACATCTTTCTATCATGCTGGGATATGGAGGAGGGTTTAGCTGGTTTTGACCTCCTTAACGAGATAAATATTAAAAGGACTTCACAAATATGCCTGTCCTGCCAGTCACCTCTTGCCCAATGCAAAATATGCCGCATAAGGATACTGCACTGCCTAGTTCATCTCTCCAGAACTGTGAAGAGCAGGGCAGTCTTGGTAGACAGCTGCACATGGATTTTAACTGCTGGGGCAGAAATTCTATCAGGTCATTTCAGGACTCAGTCCCTGCAGAGGTGACTTCATTCCAGCGAATCAGTGAATCTTAAGTGACAAAGCAATCCCCCCCCCCCACAGCAGACGGGGAAGCCCTTTCATGGAGGGTTTGCATTTATTGATAAGGCTTATTAAGGCTGGACAAAAGCTCTAATGTGCACCGCATACATCATGGAGGGGGGCTTGAGATCCCCATGCTGGGATTTTGGGAGATAGCGTCCATCAAGGCAATACATATAGTAAGAGTGAAGACTCAAGCAGCAGATTTGGCTTCAACCTGGGGGAATAGAGGTTAAACCCAAACCAAAACACTGTCATAGACTCAGACACACAATCAAAACGAAAGAATCAGGACATCCAGGCACCGTTCTGCTCACTCTGAGGCTCACAGGGGGCGCATCCTCCCAGGTGCCCAGCCTCTAGGAGGCACCAGCCAGTTCCCTCTCCTAGTGCTTCTACCCCTGGGCTGGATACAGACCACACCAGGCCCACCAGATGTAAAGCCCACTAGATATAAAGCCCTACGCTGAGTGAATGTGTGTGTCATGTTGAGGGATCTGAGGTGCAACTGACGATCATGTTTTGTGTTTTTGTTAATTTGTGACCATGTTTAATGAATGGAAAATGATGCTAATTACAATAACATTGTTTTAGGAATTAAGAGAGATTAGCATAGTCACTGCTGTTTCACTCAAATAAACAAATCAGAACTTCTACTTAAGCTTATTTTGCAAATCAATTATTGTAGATGACCAATAGCCTTTCCAGGCAACATTTTATTCTCATTGAGACTTTTCAGTTTTTTTTGCTGACGTGTGCCTTTGATGAAAAAATGTACACTCTGTTGTAAAAATGGATACTCAGCCTGATAAAAGAAGCACGGGTATCATAAAAGATGAACTGACTTTCGCCCTTGCTTGTTCTCCAGTGCCATGCGGTAAAAGTCCTCTGGTCTGACGCTGTAAGAGTTCACAAGGCTGGCCGGCTGAAGGAGAAGCAGCATTTGTCTTTTCTGCAGTCATCTGTCAACCAGCTATACCAGCCACCCAGAAGTAAGAAGTGAAATCTGTCCTTCATTTTTTGTATTTGATTCATTCATTCATTTAGGAACTAAAATAAAATAGTTTATTTTGAGAATTAAGTAGAAGTAAAAAATGTTGAAGTGAATATTTTTAAGCAAGCACTTCCTAACTGGAAGTGCTGGTGCACTGACTGACTTTTTCTGTAGTATTAAGCCAAACGGACTGATTTATAATCTCAAAAGAAAAATGATTTTTCTGACTAAAGCAGTTATTTTTGTTAAATAAGATATTCTACCAGCATACTTTTAATTTTCTCATATAATCTTTTTTATATTTCTGCAAAAAACATCTATCTATCTGTTCATTTTCTACATCTGCTTAATCCAGTTCAGAGTCATCAGTCAAGGGAAGGGGTGCAGCTTGGACAGGTTTCCATTCAGTTGCTCTACCGGACTATTATTGTAAAACATATGATCGTCTTATCGAAACATAGTTTTCAGTTTGGTCAAAGAAGCTTTGCCATTCTGTGTTTTAAAAATGTAATAAAGTATTAAAAAATTAGTATTAAAAAATAAGAAAAAACTTTTTGTTTCTCCTCTTTAGGAACATTGGAAAAAAATATACTGATGCAATATGATCAAATTAAAACTTAATTTAAGAGAATGCTGTCACAGCGGTCATTTGGGGATGCATTAATAATTACTAACAAGACTGGGAGGATTTGTCCAAAATGAATTTCTGAGATCCAGTCGAACCAGCACTGACGTAAGCCCTCTATCAGAGGCTCAGAGGAGGTCTTAGGCAGGATTCACCAGAGCTGTGCTCTGAATCCTGACCTAAGGTTATCTCTGTGGAAATGACTACAAAGCTGAGCTGCAACTTTTTTTTTTCTGTCAAGAAGCTGTAACCTAACTTGAAAGGGAGATTTATTATAGGCTGATGATTAGCCACCACTCCTGGATCAAGAGCTCTTTGGTTGTTCTGTCAACAAAGACGGATTGATTGAATCCAAAAGGGAGGTGTGGAGCTGGAATATCTTCTCAAATATTCTGGTCGGGATCCAGTGTAAAATGTAGTTGGTGGTTTAGAAGAAGCTATTGTTGTTGGATCAGAGAGATGGACTGGACAGAAAAACAGTCTGAATACAAAGTTTCCTGAGATGATTCTAAATCTGCACCAAATTAGTTGGTGAAGAAGCTCATGAAGTCATCGTTGCTGAGATTTAGAAAAAGACATGGTTCTGAACAGCTCTGTTAGTCTGGATAGAGTATAGAAAAGAAAACTTTTTTTCTGTTTTTTCTATCAGTGTTGTTTCTGTTTTTTTCTGGGACTTTCTTGTGTAATAGTAGGTTTAGGGCTAGGTGACTTTTAAGTATTTTCAGACTATTTGTCACTCCCTTAATTTGGTGGAAAAGCATATTATTCCCAGCTTTACTGTAGTCTGTTTTTTGCTGAAACTACTACACTTCGATGGTTAAACCTGTGCATTCAGACTTGCAATCCCCTCCGCTCCTCCAGAGAAGACTGCTCAGTGGGAAAAGTCATGGAACTGCCAGAGGACAAGAATGGCCGTTCCTTTGTGGAGGTGATGAGTGAAAAGTACAGCCCAGAAAACTTTCCATACCGCAGAGGGCCTGGTATGGGGGTGGTGGTGGTGCCTACTGCAGGTGTCCAAGGTTCCCCCATGAAAGGTAAGTTGGAGAGGAAGGACAGTTGGCTGTGTATCCCTCAGATAGGTTTGAGTATCTTAGAATTAGAATATGTAAATATAAGATGACTCAGAAAATGAATGAGATCAGATTAAGGCCAGGTCTTGATACAATTCAGCCCTTTGGTGCTGGCAGAGAGTGCCACCTGTCCATGATTTCTGGTCTCAACATCACCACCAAGTGCAGTGACGTCAGATTTGGGTCATTTAACATCAGCTCTCTGACGGGGAGGGGCAGCTGCTCCAGGACCTCAATCGGAACCGCAGCTATGATTTTCTGTGCCTCGCAGGAACTTTGTCAACATCCTGATGACTTCTCCTGGCTAAACGAGTCATGTCCGCCTGGGTCAAATCTGCTGCATAAACACCTAAACACCTATACTAAAAAACCCACAACTTCAATAACCTTTGTCTGTTTATCCCCAATAGTACCTGAAAAAACCATTGTATTACAGCATCTAGAATAACCACCTATATAAACAGTTCCAATCTGGTTCCCCCCCTTGCCACAACACAGTAACTGCCCTCCTAAAATTCTCCAATGACTTCCTGATGACCACATACAGTCTATTCAGTTAAAATCGGCCAGATCCCAGCTATCGTCACTCTTCTCTGGTGGTCCCCAGGGCTCTGTCTTAGGCCCAATCTTTTTCCTAATTTACCTCCTCACTCACTGTAAATTCAGCATTCGTTCCAGTGTTCAGCTGATGATACCCAGCTCTGCGTGTCCACCAAACCATCTTTGACCTCCCCACCCACTTCCAATCCATCCTCCCAAATCGTTCCATTTTCACCCTCGCTATCTAAAACCCATTTGTGTCTCCATCCACTCAATTAAAGAGACAGGTTGCCTCAAAAGAGACTCGTCCCTCTCTCCTGCCACCGCTGCAATCCTGGTCCATCTCGCTATGACTACTGCAATTTTCTCCTATTTGGTCCACTTATAAACTCCAGCTGGACCTGGAACGCTGCTGCTCAGGTCATCTCCATCTCCAGAACACCCACATTTCACCTGGGCTTCAACAGTTCCCATTCAGATATTGTCCGGAATTCAAAAGTTTTCTTTGTATAAAAGCTACATATTGAAGGTTATGGCCATCCATCGCCTCACTCCTTCTCATCTGTTGGATGTCCTTCACATTGACACTCCTGGTCTCTTAAGTCAGATTGAGCAGCCTTTTGGTGCCTCCTGCTCATCGGACCACCATAGGATTCAGGTCCCCTGCCTCTGGAACACCCTCCCTCCTGACATCAGAAACACCAGCACTGTCTCACTGTTCAAATTCAGAAAGAAAACTCATTTGTTCAAACAAGCATTTTTACCTTGATAAAGCACCATGGTCCTTTTATTTGTATTTGCTGTGCAGATTAGGCATATAAATGCAAAGGTGAATCACTTCTCTCCTCAGTTTCTGAAAAACTGACACTACGGTGACTCAGAATTGCCTGTATAGATATTGCATTGATAGCTTAAATCAATGTAACCATAATAGCATTGATCTTAAATATTTACATAATGATTTAGTCTGGGATTGTTTGCTTTTCACCCATTTCATGGTTATAGCATCAATACACACAGCCTACCCTATGGTTGATTCATCCTTCCACATCCCTCATTTGTTCTTGTCCGTCTTTACTTGTAGATCGTCTGAATCTGCCTAGTGTGTTGGTGTTGAATTGCAGTGGAATCAGCAGGGCAGGAGAGCAGGCTGAGATTGCTGCATTCTGCTCTCATGTCATGGAACTGGACCTCTCCCATAACAATCTGCAGGACTGGCATGAGGTGAAGTGTCGGCATACTCTGCAGTTTTCATGGGAACAACAATTGCCATAAAACCACACATGTAACAATGACCTAACTCAGCTAAGTATCTGTACCTTGATTATCAGGAACACACAGTGTTATGAGGACTCAGTCGTAAAGCTATGCACATTTAAGGCTGTTGTGTAGTCTTTGATCAAAAGCATCTGGCTGCTTCAGGAAATTACTCGGCGTTATTAAATTGGAAGTAGAACAAAGTGGACTCCATATAATTAGCACACAGACCTTCTCCAAAAAAATGTAAACAGCTGTTTACATTATCGTCTGATTTCATGAAAAAGGTAACATTTTAAATGACAGGTTAAAGTCTATAGATTCACTGTCGGCCATAAAAAGCAGTCTAGCTTGCTGAATAAATTAAGCCTTTGGCTACAGTGGTTAAGGAAAAAAAAATGACAGCATGTACTTTTTTCTTTTTCTTTTTTTTTAGATCAGAAAAATCATTTCTAACATCCCCAACCTGGAGTTCCTCAACCTGAGCTCTAACCCGCTGGCAGGAACGACTCTAGAGCCAGAGTGCGCTGAAGCCTTTTCCCGGGTGCGACGCCTTGTCCTCAACAACACTCAAATATCCTGGGACACCGTACTGCAACTGACTCAACAGATTCCTGAGTAAGAGAGGTTACACAAGAGCAAGCCTTTCAGACATAAGAGGAATACATGAATTTACTTATAAAAAAGATGTGAATCCATTGAGAACCACTCTTTAAAAAAAATGTTCCTACACAGTCCACAGAAGGACGAGAAAAGTAAGTTTTCTTCAGGATCTGCTCTGCTGTCTATGTGTCGTCCTGAAGGCTGGAGGAATTGTTTCTGTGCCTTAATGAGTACAGTAGTGTGAGTGCCTCCAGTGTGGCCTGTCCCACTCTCCGCCTGCTACACATCAATGATAACAACCTTCATGAGTGGGCCGAAGTGCGCAAGTTTGGTCCCATGTTCCCCGGCCTGGACACTCTGGTTATGGCCAACAACAACTTGGCTTCCATTGAGGACAGCAAAGAAATTCTCCAACGCCTCTTCCCCAACCTTCGCAGCATCAACCTGAACAACTCAGGTCAGAGTTGCTTTTAGATTCAGTTCAGTGCTATTTGATTTATATAGCGCCAAATCACAACACATCTCATCCCCGGGCACAATAATACAATCCAAATCAAAACTAATTAGAATCTGATTAATTGTAATACAGTCGCAGTCCAGTTAATTCCAGTTCCAAATAAGTACAATTCACACACAGCCAATTAAAAACCTTTCTAGCCAAAGGCACCAACACAGTGTACGGAATGCTCATTATGATCCAGTCCGCTTTCCTAAGCATGCAGAAGGCTGTAAGATTTTTTTTTTTACTTTATAAAAAGAAGAAACCTCTCTCAGGGCTTTAGATGTGATGAACACAACTTTGAGTTATACTCTGAATTTAACATGGAGCCAAAGGCTTCACAAAGTTAAGTAAAAACTTCACAAAGTTAAACTTTGTGGTTTAACATAAACCCATCCCCCATTTTGTTTTAACGCAGTTTACCGATCGCCTACGGTAGTAAATCTGTTAAATATCAGCGGTCCAAAAGGACTTATCATTCACTTCAACTCTTGTCCTAATTTAACATCATCACTTAAACCATCTTTGATTATTTGATTAGCATAAAAGCTTAACATTGCATACGGTAACATTTCCAAACATAACTTTTTGTGTGTGTTGTCAGGTCTCAACCGATGGGAAGACATCGAAAAGCTCAATTTCTTCCCCAAGCTGGAGGAGGTCCGACTGCTGGGCATCCCCTTACTGCAGACCTACACCAACGCCGAGCGCCGCAGCCTCATGATAGCACAGTGAGTAACATCTGTGGGAAACGGCTCCCTTCATAATCAGTGAAGATAAACTTCGCAAATACCTTAAACATCTGCAGCAGGAGTGTATCAAATGTGAGTGCTTCCTCCCAGGCTTCCCTCCGTATCAGTGCTAAATGGCAGCACTGTGACTGTTTGTGAACGAGAAGATGCAGAGAGGTTCTTCATCCGTTACCACTTAGACTACCCAGAGGAGGCGCTTCCATGCAGGTACATTACACATTTGTGTGTAACTAAGGTGGTATAGTGTCTGTTTTTGTGCATGTGTAAATATCAGTGGGCTGTTTTACAAGACCAAAAACACTGCTTCTTTTTCAAGTTCTTCTTTTTTTTTCCTCCCCAGGTATCATTCCCTTGTAACCAAGTATGGAAAGCTGGAGCCACTTGCTGAGATCAACCTTAAACCTCGCTACCGGGCCCAGGTGGAGGTACACTGTGAGGAGAAAGTAGAGCAGGTTAGTTTAAAGGTTAACAAAACCTCTGCCGACGATGACTTCCAAATGCACAATCACCCTGGAGGTCTCCTGTGTAAAAAGCTTGTTATTTTTTAATCCAATTAAAATTTGAAATCAAAGTCAGATGAGTTCCAACTGTCCAAAAGGAGCTCTTTACACTTCAGCCCACTCTTCCTGGAACCTGCTGAACTCTGCCTTAAAATCAAGACAACACAATGGTCCAGACATTATGACCTGTACGGCAGATAATTAGAATGTTTAAATCTTTAGATCTATTACAGCTCGTACAAAACTATTCTACTGACAAACAACAGAAAGAGAGTTCAACTTACAAGGAAAATATCTGCACTGGCTTCCTCTGGCAGATTAATTTCAATTCATTGTGTTTAAAAGATCTGAAAAAGTTTTATTTCAAAGTATTTATCTGATTTGCTCATGGTCTTTTAGGGACCTCAGGTCATCAGGTACTGCTCTCATATTTATACCAAAAGTCGGGACTAAAACCTGGAAAAGCATCTTTTAGTTTTTTATCATTGTGGTAAATTGTATTTCTATATATTCATTATTTCAATTAACTTTCCATTGAAATAAGCATTTAAAACAATGACAGCAATAGAAAAGATTCAAAGGAAAACATATTAAAGGAATATAAAGTCAAAATAAGGTGTGTACTGTACAGCAGATGAGTGAACAAAGACTCACAAGTACAAACACAAAAATGAGGCTACAGCCACTTGAGATAGTTTGCCCATGTGAGATTGTAAAGGGCACATTCTTAGCTGATAGGAGGTGACCAACCTAGTGTGGGGGTGGTATGTATAAATAATAGAAGAAATATAAGGTCGCTGCTTCCCAAGAGCCCATGCTTCCTGTCACTGGTTCTGTCGAATTCTAGTAAAAGTACAAATCTTTGTTCAAGCTAAATTAATGCTCGACTGCCTAAAATTGAGAGATGTGCTTTTTTTCCCTTTCCCCTGGGTTTGTACACACCCCTCTGATTTCAAAGAGGTTTTTTTATAGTTAAGAGGGAAAAACATGAGCATCAACTGATAAACCGAACAATCAGATGATAATGCTCAAGGGTTTAGCCACACGTCGACTCAGTCACACATTTTTGTGACCTCCATTTGATAAGTCACACTAATAGCTTGCGTCGCTGGAAATAATTTAAATACCAGCTAAATAAGTTACAACTAGTAAGGTACATGCTACAAGGCGTTTGAGTCAGGCAGGCTCCTGTTATAATGTTTCCCACAGAGATCGTATCATAACAACGCTGTTCAAATCATCCAGTGTCAGTGGTTTTTTGGATATGCTTAAAATCAAAGCACGTGGAGACATTTAAAATCAGTCCTGAACTTATTGCTGGACTTGTGTTTCTGCTCTGTACTTCAGCTGAGTATCCGTTTGGACCAAACAGTAGCCGAGCTGAAGAAAAAGTTGAAAACTGTCGTCCAACTTTCCACGAACAGCATGAGGCTGTACTACATTGACAAGTGCAGCGCCTTCGGACCGGAGGAAATGAAGTACAACACCCGCGTCCTCCACTCCTACAGCATCCAAGACGGTGATGAACTACTGGTTGTACCCAAGATCAAGTGAAGCGCTGGAATCTAGCAATCTGAAAACAAAGCGAATGGATAGATTTTTGTTAAATGGTTAAGTTATACTGAAAAATAATCGGAAAACACACATGTAACATAAACAGCATCCCACTTTTTGGACTAGAGGAAGACAGTAAAATGCGTAAAATACAAGAGGCACCGGAAAGGTGGAGAGCAGATCTCAGTGGGCTGCTAGATGGCTCTGAAAGACACAAATATTTGATCAGATTTGTTGAAGGGAAGCCACTGGAGTAAGCGGGCAAACCTGCCAGACGGTGGAACAGGCTGCGAAGGGAAACTTAAAGTCAGGTCGCAGCATCAGTGAAGGGAAATTTTTGCTGTACCAGCAAAACTTTGCTGCTGTTTTAAGTTCACGGCATGTATGATAGCACCTCCATAGGCCAGTAGCCAACATCTGCTTACCCACCTGTTGCCAGAATTGTGCTAACTAATAACTGTGGTTTGCTGACTATGTAAGATGGATTGCGGATCTTCTATGCACTTTGGCACAATATCAGGAAGTGCACAAGGTTGCAGGAGGAAAACGCCCTAAACACAGCTCCATGCAGGATTGGTTATTAAAATTCACAAACAATTTTTGTATGAGATGATTTTATTACGAGGTTGTTTCTTTGGCCTGTTTCAGTGTATAAAAACCAAGGTTAGATAATATCACATTTGGGGGGGGATACTTTGAAAAGCAGGAAAACCTTTTAAATAGCATACAGTAATTAAATCATTCAAATTGAAGTCCTGAGATCTGGAATCTTCTAAGAATGGTTCTAAATTTCCGTCAATCATATTGAAAAATGACTGGTATGCAAATATTTTGAGTGAAAGCAAAGGCCAATCTTCCACATTGAGATTGTGTAACTTGCATAATAGACCATGACTGACTCCCATATTAATCACAATTCATGCTTGTATGCTCGCTTCCTTCGAGATTCAAAGTAACATAAGAATATTTCTCAGCTGGAGATGGATGTCAAAGAAAAGTTGATTACTGAGAGGGCTAACTTATTCCACAAGTAAACAAAATGTTTTCAGAAAGCGGATTATCAGAAACTGTAAAGATGAAGTAAGACTGAAGGAGTTGAATTTGCGTTTGTGTTCTCTCCCAGACTTGTCGCTCATGAGAAAGCACAGCTGTGTGCACTGGTAGTCGGTCACAAATGCCCCAAAGAGAGCCCCACAAAGCTGTCAGTCTGTTATGCCCCCTGTTCACTTCTTTGTGGTGAAAGATTTAACACATAAAAAAGCACTTGGCACGACACCAAAAAACAGTCTCTTAGTGCAAGGCATTTACAGAGCATTTTCATCAACTAAGAGAATTGATCATGGCAGTTATTTTCCAATAGTTTTAATTGTTTTTAGGCACCTTAAAATGTGTTCTGCATACCTTTTTTGACAGTTTGTTTATATCTTTAAAGGGCATTGCCCATGATCCACAAACACATGTCTTCATTAGTAGTGTTAATCTGTACTTTTGATCTGCTCTCTTTACAGTGAACTATTCCCTAATGTTAGTATTTCATCTGCTGTTATTTAGTCAGTGTATTCGAGACAAAGATACTGTCACTAAAGAATTATTATTATTACTTTCATATCTGACTGTAGGAGAGCTGATGCTAGATATTTGGCTCTTTTGGATTTTTCCTATGGGAAAAACAGTTTATATTTCCAGCCACAAAGTTACACGATGACAAACAAAAACAAACAAAAGTCTATTTCAGTAGAAGCTCCAGTTTATCATCTGCACACGGAACACTCAGCTTATTGTGCACATGATCTCTTAGGAATGAAATATTCTTGCAATTACATACTTGAGATAATCAAAAGGTCTAAATTATGATTTACCAATTTTTTATTCTATTTAACTTCTAATATACTTGACAACATAATGCAGAACATATTAAGGCACATCCATGTAAAATAGGGTACGCTCTCTCAGACTTCTAAGGCTTTCTGTATCAGGACAAATCATTCAAAACTAGTAAAAAATATATCAAACTATTATCAGTACTGAAATATAAAATTACTAGATTGTTATTGAATTATTGTATTTATTAAATGGACATTAACAGTAGATCATGTCAGCTAGCAGAACCTCTAGCAGGGAGTTCAGGAAGTGGTTTCAGAGTGATGTTATCAGTCTCTCTCATGGCCAGTGGAGGATTCTGTCCCTCTCCTCTTTCCAATGTTCTCCAGCTCATTGTTTGCAGCTATGGTTTGTGCACAGCTCTCTAAAGCCCCCCCCACACACACACAGTATTCATTGGGCTGAGTTCTGGACTCTGACGGACCATTCAAATCCTCGATTCTTTTTGCAAACTTCCTGCTGTAGATCTGCTGCTGTGTTTGGATCTTTGTCCTGTCGGTGAGCCCGTTTCAGCCTGGGCTTTTCTAAATGGCTTTTCTTTTCACCTGTGGGACAGATGGCCTAACATCTGACTCTGAATGTTTTAGCATCCAGAGGAGTTCACCGTGGTCTCGGCGACCGCAAACAAGCCATACGTGTGTTCACTCGTGACCTTTAACCTTTAACGGAGGCCTGTCCTGAATGTTTTTCACTTGTCAATTATCTTTTAGTTCTGCAGAGTCATAGACGCCTCATAATGTGTCCTAGAATAATTGCCCATAGCAATTGGCTCTTAAGATAATTAAGATCTTTCCCCCTCTCTGTCTGAATGTTTTCAGCAGCAGTCTGCTAAAACCTTCTGCTTTAGTAGAGATACTTACACTTATTGATAGTGGACTTTGTCATTCAAATCTCCAATATTCTGGGTTGGGATTTTTCAATGAATGATGGCACAGAGTCATATGTCATGTATCTTTTTTTAATTGAAGTGAATGTATTTTCTTTGTAAAATGCTTGTGATCATTCGCAGATTGGTGGGACAGTGTTGGATAGGATTTAAAAGAGCTAAAAGCCTATTCTCCCATTCTATCACAATTGTACTCAGTGACTGTTGGTGTAGCATGAACCATAGCCATAGCGCTCAGCAAAAACAAGCTCACACTAAAGCAGTGACGTCTGGACTCATGTATCGAGAGGAGGTGTCTGTATTTATCAACTGGCATTTATCCAGAGGCAGAACTGTTATATTTGGTTTTATTTTATATATTTTTTTGTTACATTTCGCAATTAATGATATGCATGCTAGATATTTATTCATTTGTCTATTATTTTTTCACGATGTCCACGTTGAGAGTTGTCAATATGCCGACTTTGCTGCTTATTGCATCAGATCTTATAGCACATAAAGCCCCTATAACAGATTCAAAATTACCACAGTCTTTTTGATATATGGTGGCATTTCTGTAGTTTAATTATATTGTATTCTTTTTTAATATATAGTGGCTATTCTTTAATACTTGGGATGTTTCATTACTGTGAAAGAGTAAACAGTAAAATAATATCCTGCAGAATTAGACTACGAGGCTTAGAAGCACATTTTATTTATTGCTGAGCTGCTCTACAGGGCTTCATCCATCATAGATTTCAAAGCTTTCAAAGCATTTTTCCTCAGTTGCCAAGAATTGGGACGGAAGAGTGATTGCTGCACGTAGTCCAATCGGCATGAAATGGTTAGTTTAGCCCAGTATAAAATACAGGAGGTGGTGAGCCTCGCTCTGTCCACATAGATCGATTCTACCTGCAATCAACTGTTAAAAGTTCTAACAGTTACCAGTTACTGCCCAGCATAATATCTACTATGTAATAGCATATCTGATAAAGTATCACCTGCCACACACTGCAGCTCTAAAGCCTTTGATAGTTGTGTTAGCCGTAAGCACTCACAAGATTTTGCCATGTCTGAAAACGCTGGAATATATCACTTGGACATGGCAGCAAAGTGTTAGTGAAAGCAATTTCTCATGTATTCTTCCCTGAGAGGATAGCTTGCTCCATTTCCTATCGACACTCTTTAAGCCTCTGTGCTTTACCGAAGGGTGTCAAATACAATGATGCTGTAATGCTAAGTGTGGGAAGTTTCTTTAAACAACACTGTTCTGTTCAAACCCGGAATTCTTGCTAGTTTTCATTCAATTAAAGCTCTATATCTTAAATGAATAGTTCTCAGAACACGATGCTCTACATCAGAGAATCTTATAAAAAACTAAATCCATATTTGCTTTTCTGAATACATAAAAAATACTTGTCTGATCTACAAGAGCTCATCGGGGTGTCTCTTATTGTAAATTTGAGTTGATTAAATGTGCAGTGTCTCCACATCTACTTCGTCTTACACACCAGTATTTAAGCTAAGCACTTCACCTAACTGTATGTAACACAGAACTGCTCTTAACCGGCGATGTTTGAAGAGTAATGTTGTTTACGAGGAATCTGTATTAAGTCTTCAAAAGATCAGGGGTCATCGTTCTTGTGTTGGTGTATGTATGCGAAGAAAGATGCGTCATCAAATGATAATAAATGGCAGTCTCCCTCCTCAGTTGTCTGACCATGTTTCATTTACAGCTACAACGTATTGACCACGTCACAAGTCTCTGATGTGATCCTGATAAGTCTCTGACACTTTCTCTTTATTTATTTTTAAATACAGAGAAATAATTAGAACTTAGAAATTTTGCATATAGTCTCTTCCGCTTTGGTTTACCTGTCACAGTCTATCTAAGTTTGTATCATCATTATTATAAATACACCTTGTCTTCTTTAGTTTTTCAAGCAGTGAATGTTTGTCTTTATAATCGTTTGTGTTTATACCTTTATTTTTCAAACAGAAGTTGTAGGATGTAACCAGAAAGTGCCATCATCCATACAGTCAGTAACTGCTGCATCAATCTGTGAAGACTGAAATTCGGATTAGAACTCCCAGAGGAGCTTGGTACCTATTGCAACATTCTGTGGCCACTTTAAGAGAGGCTCACACACACACAAAATCTGTCTTCCACTTTGAGTTTACAGGGAGAATTTGAGCTGTCAGCCACTGTTTGAAATATGATTTAAAATATTAAATTAACTTTGGCTTAGTTTGAATGAGCATCTTATATTTAAATGATCAAGTTAAAGGAAGCAACCTCGAATTAAATGATTAGCTTTTTTATTTGTGCTCCTAATTAATGACAATTAATAGCAATACAAAACGACTAAAATATCAGCAAGCAGGAAATAGACTCAAGTTTGGAACGTGAACTTATTGAAAGTCTCGCGTTGTCGATGCAAGCAAAAAGCCTCCTCTCCCTAGCATTTGGATGGAATTGTAAAGTCTGTACTATTTAACTGCGATATCACTGTTGTAAGATATATTTTTACGTTTGAATAATGCATTCGCACGTTTGATCATAAATGTTTTCGCGTTTGTACAATATCACGTTTGTACGATGTATCATCACGTTAGAACGTGACAGTGTTCATGAATGTATTTTCTGTCAATGACAGCAAATCCCTGTTTACGTTCGTCACCATGGTGACGGCGGGGAGGGCGGTTCGCGTCTGTGGCTGCTGAGGTTTCAGTCAGGTTTCAACCAATCAGAGAGTCGTTATGTAGCAGTGCTGACGTCACCGTTAAAGCGAAACGGACCGTTACTCGGGTGCCCAAAACTCTACAACTGCAAGCGACAGAAGACCCGGCTAAAACCCCAACGTGCCGCTTAATTAAAGCTCCAGTTCTGTCACGGTCTGGTCAACGTCACTGTTCACGCTTCCGAGCATTTTTTAAATGATGGTGCTCGGAGACGCGCTGCCCTGCTAGAAGGGGCACTTTGTGGGGGGCGTTTCGCCGGACAGGGATGATCTCCAGCAGCGGGGTGAGTGAATGCAGTACGTACGACACCATAACCGATGCGGCCGGGGGCCGCTCCGTAGCACGGGCCACGTCCCGGACGCATCCACACACCGGCCTCCTCACGACGAAAAAGGGAATAACTAATCACCCTGCCGTGACGGAAACTGCCTCAGGAGTGTCACAGGAAAGACACCGGGATTTTGCACGTTTGACTGTTTTAACTCGGGGATTTCGAGCCCGTGTGGCACCGCGCGAGCAGTAAAGACGAGAACAAGTCCACAAAGTCTGAATGTGGTCGGTTTGAGTCGGACTGTGCCACGGGGGACCGTGTCGGGTCCCCTGTGTGACCAGAGGAAGAAGTGTTTGCTCAGGAGCTGCTCCCAGCCCCGTCGTTGCGCGCAGTTTGGCGCGAGGCACCTCTACTGGCAGCTGCCGTAAATTGACCAACGCCGGTGCCCCACTGACCATCATTATTGTTAACATAAGTATTAACTTTGTGCCCCCCCCCCTCCCCGCCCCTCGGTGGCGTTGTGTCCCCGTCGTTTCCGCCCCCCCTTGCACGAGCCTGCCCCTCCGCCGTTGCCAAGCAACGGCGCCAGTGGCCCAAACGCCGCTCGAACGGGGTCGCGGGGACGTTTTTAAGTTTGTGTTTCAAAACACGCCGCCGTGTTCGTATCACGTCAGTGAGCTGGAAACCACGTTGACGTCACGCTCCGTCTCGCGCCCCCGGTAAACCATCTCCTCCCGGCGGCATGTAACGTTACCCCCCGGGCGCCCGGAGCCCGGGCCGCCCGCGGGGCCGCCGACTTTTTTCCATTGTTCGTCAAACAAACGGGAACTGTTTTTCACTGTGCTGGAAGGTACTCTTTTGCCTTTGGACGCACATATTACGCCTCACCTATTGTCACGCTACCATAAACGTGTATCAACAGATACATTAGAGGGAGAAAAACCTAATAAAAATGACAATATGTCACGTGACTTGCTCTTAAATCTCTTCTTAAAGAGAAACTTTTTTTGTTTTAGCCCAGTAAAACCCCACAGATGTGGTGTCCTGTACATCTTTGGGGTCAAGCCCCCCCTCACACACACACACACACACACACACACACCACAAGTTGATGGCATTGGAAGCGGTTTGCCTCCCTGCTGGAGTGAACTTGATGCTTACCCAGCTCGGCTTATAAAAAGCTTTAATACTAGTCCTTTTAGAGCAAACTGGAATGTCAGGGAGGGCTGAGGGACCTGCAGAGGTCATGGGCGTCTGCTATATTTACCGGCTCTGTAACTTGATCCCTGGCATTCTGGATGGCTGTGTTCATCCTATCCTCTCGCTCTCTGGGTCCACAGTGTCCCAAGTAGCACCCCGATTGCTTTCTGTCTGTTGACTGGGCCGCTCAGAACAACAAGGGTGAGCCTCTTAAAACCCCAAATTTAACTCACCTTTATTCCTCCCTTTTGTGTGCTTGTGTGTGTGTGTGTTTTGCTTTAGGTACATGCTTGACACGCTGCTTTTTTTTTTGAAAGAACATCTTCCCACAGGGACCAGGATAGAGGATGACAACACCATTTCAGAAAGTTCTGTCAATTTGACACTTAAGAGTAGCTTCAGTATACGTGTCTTTATTTCTCATTAAGAATATTCAGTAATAAAAAAAAGCAGAAGCAGCTTTCTGTGAGGGTAATGAAAGTGACGCTGTTAAAGGGATGCTTTCAGATGAGTCACTGTTTAAAAGAGTGAATTGTCGGACATGACATCCACAGGTGTGGATGTCTCCTGTGTGTTTGCCTCACGCTGGACCTGCCGTCTGGTTCAGCGAAGCAGCACAAAACAGATCACTTTATGGGCTTAGAGCCGTTTGATGGATCTCCTGTGGTGTGTTTACTGTTAATAACAAAGACCTGGTGTCAGGAGGGCGCTCATTTAATATACGTGTGTCGCTCTGTGTCAGATAGCCATCGGTCTACAGAAAATGAAAGTCTTTTTACGTTTGCCGCTGTATTGTGTTGTTCTTTGTGTTCAGCGGTGTGACGTGTGGCATGTGTGTGTCTTTTCACAGAATTAATCATTGTCTCAGAGCGCGTGTGTATACACGGTGGGGTAGCAACAGTAGAATGAGCTGTCCCAGATCCCTAACAGGCTGCGGGGACTGACACACACTGCTACAAATATAGCAGGTAACAACTTCACACACACACACACACACACACACACATACCTTTACACACACAGCAATGTCCCAGTTGGTATCACAGAGTACACGTAGCTCCTATGACCTCTCTTTTCTCTCACTGTAAAAAAGCGATCGATTCTGTTGATTGCTTTCAGAGAACAGTCATTCCACATTCTCCTGAAGGGTCTCGGTCTCATAGCACATCTTTTGTGTTCCGATTGCCATTGCAAAAGTTATGGTGCAACCAGATGAGAAGTGCGTGCGTGGAAGTGGAAATCAGGTTTGCTTTCTATCAGTAGAGATCCAAAAGTTATGAATGTGAATCTGGAAAAAAAGAACGCATACTTACATATTTGGCTTAGTTCCAACAGTTTTAGTTATGAAACCACCGTCCTAAGCATCCAGAGGACCTAATGAAACACTCAACACTGGGCAAAATGTGGTGCATTTGCTTTTTTTTTGCCTTCTTAACTGCAAGGACAAGGGTCTGAGTGGTCTGATTTGACTTACCTCCTGAGATGGCTGAAACCACATCAGTTGTTTAAGTTGGAGCTAAAATCTTTACTTTATCTTCTCCCTGGGGTAAAAAATTATTAATTCAATTTGTTTTAGTTTTTTCTGATCAATTAAATTTGGCTGAAAAATAACAGGAATAGATAGAGATTTTTTTTCTCATCAAACTTTGATGTATCATTTCTGTCATATGGGTGTTCTCCTTAAGTTTGAAAATCCCCAAAGACAGGATAATAGATGAATGGTTTGAATATATTAACTTTTGCCTGGTAAAATATTGAGATTCAAAACAGGAGACCTGTCTTGTCAAGTGTGTGACTTCTAAAAATGTTTTCACTTGAAGTAAATGAAGATTTTTTTGTTTATGTTTGTTATATCATGTCTGTTGCAACGAACAGACAGATTCTGTTGAGCTCTGTCTGCAGAGCTAAGATCTGAATCACTGAAACACGATAAGCTTATCTAGAGCTCACTGAACTAATTCCTGAGCTAATTCTTTGTGTCTAATACTGTATGTCCTTCATTATCCCTCAGCAGAGAGGCTTTGATGAATGGATGTTTGAGATAATAATGGTGTAATACTGACGATAGAATTCATTCAGAGAAGGCAGCATCAAGCTGGTCATGAGGCCGGCGCGTCAGTCACTGCAGCCCACAAATTCAGTCTCCTTTCTGCTCATTGTGGCTTTTCAGAGTGAGTCACCGGCACAGGGTGGTAATAAGAAATGCAAACTGCTTTGATTGAGCAGTGAGGAGATCCAGAAAAACCTTATGCAAAAGAAAACTCTCCCTTCTTTGCTAAATATGTGCCAAATGTTTATTTTTTTTTTAAAAGGGGGGTTACCTGTTATTGATAAGTCAGTGTAAATAATGGAAGATAAGATATGATTAGGTTTTTAAAGCCCTGCTTGTGGGGTCTGGAAAAGCAAAAATAATTTATGTTTGAGTGAAATGACAACCAGATGTTCCAGGTTGTTATTTTGGTTTCAGTCTTATTTCTGACTCTGTTCCTTTGT